CGACTTCTTCTGAAGACTGGAACTATATAGAATCTTAATATTTGGCTAGTGGCTTCTTTAGGTGGAGACAGACAAACGGTCTGAGTGAAAATCAAATATGTCAAACACTTCAAACAACTTCTTCTGAAAAACTGAAAGGTATATAATCTAATATTTGGCTGGTAACTTCTTTGGATTGAGAATGACAAGAGTTTGAGAATGAAAATGACCTTGACCTTCTTTAAAGGTCACACAGGTCAACAAAACTTTTAATGACTTGTTCTGAAGAACGAAAAAGGCATGGATTCATGAGATTAGACTGATAACTTCTTGGCATAGAGCCAACAAAAATCGAAAAGGAACCTACTTACAAGATCACAGGGACAAATATGTCTAACTCTTCAAACAACTTCTAAAGAAGAACCGAAAAGCAATAAAAATAATATTATTTTTGCTGGTAGCCTCAATGAATTGAGCAGACAAAGTATGCAATTGAAATATTTGTAGTACAGTATAATATTGAATGAGAATATTTTGCTATGACTGCTTAAATATGCATGATACAGGCCCTCCGGGCCTGATCTTGTTTACATCACCTGCTCGTCAGTCTTCTTTCCATCTACTTTTCCTTTAAAATGTTACTAAATTCTCGAATGGCTTAATGGATTTTAGCTAAATTTGGCCTGGAGGATCCTCGCCAAAGGGGACTTAATTTTGTATAAATTGAGGGTGTGGCACCCTGGGGGCAGAGAGGCGGACCAGATAGGGGAAATTAAGGTAAATCATTTAAAATTGGGGATTTTATCCAAATTTTGCCTGGAGCATCAATGGGCAAAGATAACTCAATTTTTTATAAAGGACAGGGGTGGTCCCTCTGGGTGCTGAGGGGCGGGACAAAATAGGTGAATCAAAGGTTTAAACCTTTAAAATTATTCTGTACAATATGAGGGATTTAAACCAAATTTTGTCTAGAACATCATTGGGCAAGAGGAATTCAATTTTGTATGAACGGAGGGTGTTGCTCCCGGGGGCAGAGGGGCGGGGCTCGTTAGGAAGAACAGTGGAAAATTATAAAAAAAATCTTCTTCTGTACAAATAGAGGTATTTAAAGCAAATTTGTTGTAGAGCATCCTCGGGTGAAGGGGACTCAATTTTGTATAAATGGAGGATGTGGTCCTCCTGGGGGCAGAGTGGAGGGTTATCCCTAGAAGGGTGAATTTAGGGGTAAAATTATGAAATCCTTCTCCTTCTGTATGAATGGAGGTTTTTTACTCAAATTTGGTCTAGAGTATCCAAAGGCAAAAGGGACTCAATTTTATATAAATGGAAGGAGTTTCTCTCCTCGGAGCTGAGGACAGGGGCCGTAATATGGGAAATTTAGAAAACTCTTTTTCCCTGGGGTTTGAGAGGATAGGCCAAAAAGGGGTAATTTTGCCATATTGCTGCTGTCTTGTCTGGAACAAATTGATGGATATCAATCATATCTGGTTTGGGGCATTCTTTGGGATTGAGAATTCGAAATGTTACCAGTGGAAGGGCTGACCCCGGGGTCTGAGAGTGGCGCCAAAAAGAATTTTTAACTCGGACATTATCGAGATCCCAACCCCAGAACCAATTACACAATTGCTGATCATCACAAGATTAACACAATCATGACATTAGTATTGGCTCCTGGGATTGGCCCTACCCATAGGGTCTTAGTTTTTGGGACATAACTTTGAAACAGTTTAGATCCCTACCCCATAACCATTTGTACATTTGATTGGCATAAATACAGTCATGATATGGGTCTGGCCCCACCCCTTGGAACTTCATTCCTGAGCCATAACTTTGAAAACATTGAGATCCCCACCCCATAACCATATATACCATTGCTGGACATCGGGAGACGAACACAATTATGATATTATAATAGGCGGGGTTCCAATCACAACACAGCTCGGGCATCTCCAGTTAGTGGAGTTGTATTGGCCGACTAGTTTCAACTCTTGAAGCGTATTATATTTACATATTCGATACCAATCGCCCTGCATACCTTCTGGTATCCACTTTCGGAGCGAAGTGCCCCACTGATCACCCCATCTATACAACCACAAGACGTTGGCTCTAGATTGTTTTGTTAATAATGATATTAGTATTGACTCTTGTCAGGACCCAGGGACTAATTTTAACTGGGCCATAACTTTGAAATGTTTGAGATCCTTAACCCATAGCCATATATACCATTGCAGGTCATAACGATCCAGGTGAGTAATACAGGCCCTCTGTGTCTCTTGTTTCAATTGATTTACATGACTTCTTCGGAATAACCAAATTGATGTAATAAGAGCTACAAGAAATTTCCAGATTAACAAATCCATGAGATCATACCCTTATACATGTAGACATATAACTATTTATATCTGTCAAAGAAGTAATATTAAAGATAACTTCCCGAATAACGCTGGATCTTGTAAACATATTTTTTGTAGGATACTAATTACTTAGCATCTTATATGGGGCAAGGAAGTAATTCTTACAGTGTAGACAATTTGAGGTCAAATTTTCGGAGCAAACCGCTCCTTTATTGGTATTCCGTCTTTGCGAATTGCAGAGTTATCTTCTCTTTGGAGCAGGTATTGATTGTTACTTCACTTGTTTGTGGGAGTAACGTCTTCAATTTTTGAGAAAACGACGTAATTTTCTCACACAAACCAATGACGTAACAATCAATACCTGCTCCCAAGAGAAGATAACTGCAATAGGCAAAGACGGAATAGAGAAAAACACAAAACAATTACATTAATACATAAAAATAATGTTACAAATATAGCAAGATATAGCTATAATTTTTTGAAAACAATAAGCCCCTCCGATACCGTTAGCCAATGGCAGATTTTACACTGCCGCATTATTGACCACAGATTGTGACGAAATGGGTTCTACTCAATAGTTGATTTAATTAATTAATGGGATTAATTTATGCTAGATTCATACATATCTCAGGAATGTATGTTGTCGGGTTACAGTAGCCTAAAGGGTACATGTAATACTAAGAGTAATTAGTCACGTTAGATACAAGATAACTGATGAGAAGCACCGTGTATAAATGTACCAATTGCAAGTGATCATGAACCCAAAGATGATGACAGGTTTATAGGTCTAAATGATAGATGATGGCTGTAGGCAATGTTGTAATATTTGTACTGGAAAACGTATTTAACGGGGTACAACCTATATTCGAGGGAGGCGGGAATTGGCCACGAGAGGGACAGGTCAGAGTATGGTTTCCATATGACAGGCCTAGAATTGGACCAGGGGAGTGTGGCCATGGTTTGGACACAGGCCTAGTTACTTAGCTCGAATTCAAAGACACAACGTGAAGTATTACTTTACGTAGATGAGAAGTTGTAACCACCTGTACATGTACCTGTAATGAGATTGTTGATTAATGTCTATGAACATGTGTTAAGGGTGCTGTGTTACACCGATATGATATGTATGCAAACAATGACAAAGAGATCAAATATATCGGGGAAAACTGAAGCGTGAAGATGCTGAAGCTTAAAAATGACACGACGATTCGTCCCAAGATGATAATTGGGACATGGCTTAGAAACTCCAGAAAACTCCCCAAATATCTGTAAGAAATTACAACAACTTCTTCTGATTTACCAAAAGGGCTATGGTTGTGATATCTGGCCAGTAGCATGCTAGAATGAAGGTTACTAAGTTTGTTCAAATGAATGGCCTTCATACATATTCAAGGTCACAGGGGTCAATTGTCTCAAAAAAACTTTTAAACAAGTTCTTCCAAAAACAAAAAGCACCAGGGTTATTAAATTTGCTTGGTTATATGCTGGCATGTACAAAAAATTAAGTCAGACCAGAATCAGAATTCGTACAGATTTTCTCTCTTCTTAACTCTTTACCAAATTCCAGTCGTACTGAAAAAAAATGTCGGAAAAAGGGAAAATCTGATCGGAAAACAGGGGCGTAATATTTAAATCAGCAGTGTTGGATATATGGAAATTCCATAAAGAAAAAAAAATCCAGTCGGGTTCAGAAATCAAGGCAGAATAAATTCCGGTTCAGCTACATAGGAACTCGATTTACCTTTTCAGTCAAAATCCCAGTAAATTCCGGATTTCTGCCATTTTCCAGTTGGATTTTCAGGCATATCCTGATCATATTACTGAGCAAAATCCGATTGGATTTCAGACCATACCTTGATTTCATTAATTTACCTATATTTCATCATTGAGCTATGACATAAATTTGGAACAATGTGTATGAAGGGCTTGTAAGTTTATCCATATGAATGACCTTCACCCATATTCAAGGTCAGTTGTCTTAAAAACATTATAAAACGACTTCTTTGAATAACCAAAAGGTCTAGGGTGATGCTATTTGGCCAGAAGCATGTTTGGATGAAGGGCTACCAATTTTTTTCATATGAATGACCCTCGCCCATATTCAAAGTCACAGGAGTAAAATATGTTGAAATTTTTGAACGACTTCTTTTGAATAACCAAAACGTCAAGGATGACTGTTTGTTCATGTAAATGACCTTGACACACGTGCACTATCAAGGTCACATCTGGTCAATTGTGCATAAATCTTTAAAAGTCATCTTCTCAATTAACAAAAGGTAAATGGTTTTGCATTCTGAGATGAAGGACTTTAAAATTTGTTCAACTTAATGTACATGTTTTACTTTCTAGGTCATAGGGGTCAAAAGTGTTTCAATTGTTTAACATATTCTTTGAAAGACTTTAAATCAAGACACTGATATTTTGCCTGTAGCTTTATTTTAGTTGCTTTTAAGGTTACAGTTGTGTGATTAATACTAGGTTAGCGATGCAGGTCCATTGGGCCATTTGTTTTTATACACTGTTCTTAATCTTTGTGTCAAGATAAACTCTTTTCATATTTTAAGAGATATTTATTGTTTTGAAATGTTTTTGATTTCCTGCTGAGATCATCATTAGAATCAATTCTTCAAAAGTTGTAACTGCTATAATCTCTTATATTTTCTGCAGATGATGCTTATGAAAAAGTTATTGAAGTTGCCGGAACAGAAGATGGTGTCTACGTTAATTGTAAGGATGACCCCAAACTCGACTCGAATATAGGACCTGCAAACAGAAAGGTAAAACTCAGTTCCTTACATAATGATTAGACATGTATCCTTTGTCTGTCAGTTCATTGTCTATTGGCCATACTCATCCTTTAAATTACTTCTTCTGAACAAGGTTTGTAATATTTGGCAAGTAGCTTCCACGGATGAAGCCAATGTTTGTGTTATAAAAACCAAAAATGACATCTAGTCATGATATTTGGCCAACAGCTTGTTGGACTGGAGTAATAGAAAGTTTGGGAACAGAAATAATGTTGACCTATATTCAAGATCAGGTGATTGTTAAAGTTCATGGGCCTCTTGTTTTATCGTGTAATTAATTCCAAGAAAAATAGGGTCTTTTTTATGTATGAGCTTCAAATGTTACAAAATTACAATTAATGTATCGTTTAATCAAATTTATTTCGACTTAAGGATCCCAATACCACAGCCAAAAACTGAGTATTTTATAATGAAAAGAAATATACCTTACGTGACTTTTTTACGTAACAATTAAGATGAAATGAACAAAATATAATCAACAACAGTGTTCTGAGTGTAAAATCAACCTGGATTCAACCCCTAACTTCAGACTGCTAAACTAGAACGGAAGATTACTGTATATAGAAAAAGCAGGTTGTAGTGGGACAAGGATCTTAAATTAAATCTTATAATTGCAAGGAAAGAGCTGTTAATAATAAGGAACAATTATACCAAATTTCATGCCTTTCACATTTCTCAAGTCTGCATCTTCATCCATAGTTTTTCAGTATATTCTTTACTTTTACCAGACTTTTATTATTTTCTTTTCCAACAGAACCAAGACGGTCTTGTTTACTTGGATATCAAATTTAAAGAGGACCAAGAAAGTGGGAGAAATTATGTAATCCATGGCATTGAAAACAGGACTGATTATTCTGATATTGATTTTACAAACCATAGTGATCCATCACCTCAACAGAGTGAGGAAGTCCAGCCAAAAGAGAACAATAAAAACAACTAAACTTTGCTACATGGTATGATTTCTTATGTAAGCAAAGTACTGTTGGAAGTTATTCATGTTCATTCTTTTACATGTAACAAGAACAGACACAATTCAAAACAAACAGATGAAATATAATGATCACACTTGTTTGTGTCAAGAAGAAATCATAAGAGATTATGGTCTCAAAATTAGTGAAAATATTTTCATTCCCGAGAAATAATCAATGCATGTGTGTATATATTGGTGGAATATGTAACGAGAAAAAAGTTGGATTAATAGTATATGAAGGCCACTTGTGGCCTGAGTTGAACATTTTAGTTCACCTTGCAAATGACAATGGACACCTCACCTGTTGTGGTATGGTGTCCGCCAGGCACCAACTTTTTACTTTTAAACAACTTTTTCTGAATATCCAAGAATCCAAGGGTGAAAACCGGCATTGAGAATTTCTCAAAAAGTATTAAAGGGATCTTTTTCAAATTTACACACCTCTTGGTTCGTCGTTATGCATATCAAATTTTTGGACTGATCTGAAAACCAAGATGCGGACAGGCGGTCATCTTGTTAAAGTTTAAGTTTGTTAACGCTATTTCTCAGAATGTACTGGAGGATTATCTTTCTCAAATTTGATATGTCCTTAGTTGTGCATGTTAACTTTTTAAATTGATCAAAAGACTGATTAAGATGGGGGACAGGCAAACTGATCAAACAGATAAGAGAAAGGAAGAGAGAAGATCAAACTGACATATAACTAATGATGATGGTACGATGGTGGGCGCCAAGATCCCTCTTTGGATCTCTTGTTCATAAATGAACAGTGCTGCCCCGGCCGGCCTATGCAGGCAGATGGATGGATCATAGGAATAAATATTTAAAACCCTTCTTCTGTATTAGTGGAGGGATTAAACCAAATTTGATGAAGAGCATCCTTGGGTAAAGAGGACTCGCTTGTGTATACAAATTGGTATGGTCGCCCCCAACGGGCAAAGGCATGGGGCACAAGTGGGGAATTACATGCAGTGGTATATCTGGGAAATACATATGTAGTGGTAAATCTTTTAAAAAAAAAAATCTTTAAGAATGTAGGGATTTAACCAAATTCAGATAAGAACAATTTTTGAGTAAAAGGGACTCCGATTTATGTAACTTTAGAGTGTGATTCTCCTGGGGGCAGAGAGGTGTAGCCAGTGGGGTGAAATAGAGGTAAATATTTTTATGGTGGGCTATTCAAATCATCCTGTGTCCGTGGTCCGTCGTCGGTCCGTCGTCCGTAGTCCGTCCGTAAACAATTCTTGTTATCGGTATTTCTCAAGAAGTACCAGAGGGATCTTTCTCAAATTTTATATGTAGGTTCCCCTTGGTCCTGAGCTGTGCAGGGCAACTTTTGAGACTGATCGGATAAACAACATGGCCGACAGGCAGCCATCTTGGATTTTGATAGTAAAAGTTTGTTATCGCTATTTCTCAAGAAGTACCAGAGGGATCTTTCTCAAATTTTATATGTAGGTTCCCCTTGGTCCTTAGCTGTGCAGGGCAACTTTTGAGACTGATCGGATAAACAGCATGGCCGACAGGCAGCCATCTTGGATTTTGATAGTGAAAGTATGTTATTGCTATTTCTCAAGAAGTACCAGAGGGATCTTTCTCAAATTTTACATGTATGTTCCCCTTGGTTCTGAGCTGTGTAGGGCAACTTTTGAGACTGGTCGGATAAACAACATGGCCGACAGGCAGCCATCTTGGATTTTGATAGTGAAAGTTTGTTATCGCTATTTCCCAAGAAGTACCAGAGGGATCTTTCTCAAATTTGATATGTAGGTTCCCCTTGGTCCTTAGCTGTGCAGTGCAACTTTTGAGACTGATCGGATTAACAACATGGCCGACAGGCAGCCATCTTTGATTTTGATATTGAAAGTTTGTTATCGCTATTTCTCGGGAAGTACTAAAGGGATCTTTCTCAAATTTTATATGTAGGTTCCCCTTGGTCCTTAGCTGTGCAGGGCAACTTTTGAGATTGATCGTATAAACAGCATGGCCGACAGGTAGCCATCTTGGATTTTGATAGTGTGGGTTTGTTACCGCTATTTCTCCGTAAGAACTGGAGAGATCTTTCTTAAATCTTATATGTAGGTTCCCCTTGGTCCTTAGCTGTGCAGGGCAATTTTAGAGACTGATCGGATAAACAACATGGCCGACAGGCAGGCATCTTGGATTTTGAAAGTGAAAGTTTGTTATCGCTATTTCTCGGGAAGTACGGGAGGGATCTTTCTCAAATTTTAAATTTAGGTTCCCCTTGATCCCTTGTTGTGTATGTGATATTTTGAGACTGATCATAAAAACAAAATGGATTAAAAGAAGAACTAAACAGATCTTTCTCATATTGCAATGGTCGATTCTATTTCTTTCACATTAAGTAATGTACTAGTAAATATGTGAAATGACAAACTCACTTTGAAGGTTGGCTTTCATACACATCAGTATTAAGATTAGATCAAAAGTTACCTCAAGGTGCATTTACTGTTAAAATGACGCGATCAAACAGATTAGAGGAAAGAAGAGAAAAAATCGAACTGACAAAGAACTAATGAAGATGGTACAAAGGTGGGCGCCAAGATCTCTCTGGGATGTCTTGTTGAATAAACCATGTCCATGTCCAAATGGGAAGAGAGGGTTGGGACCCAATAAATTAGGATGTTGCCGAGTTACAGGCCAATATTTGGAAATGTTTGCGGTATAATTTCCAATGAGAATATTTTGTGATGATTCCTAAAAATATCCAGGTGACCCATACGGGCCTTCTAGGTCTTTTGTTGCTATATGCATTTGAAACACTTCTAATTCACAAATATGAACCCCTCTTGCTGTTTGGCATATTTACATTCATTTGAGGTTTAGTTGTGGAAAAATAATAATTCAATGGTGAAATTACGTGTAGCTTTTCTAGATTTTGCATTAACATAGTATACATGTATGAGATTTTGAAGATGTTGTGGTTACTTTTTGAATTGATACAAACATAACATAAACCTGGTGTTTCCGTATACCCATCAGGTTTGAATGTGATTTCATTTCTCAGTTTTCAAGTTTATTTTATACTTGTTTGAAAAGTGCTCGTCTAACTAAACTTTTGAAACACAAATGCTGACATTGAGCTTCACAACCAGTGACTTTTGAATCATTATACAACTGTATGGGTTAACTTTTTGTACTGTATTATACGTAATGTTTATATTTACTTTTTATACCCCCTGCAACGAAGTAAGGGAGGTATACTGGAATCAGCTTGTCTGTCCGTCTGTCTGTCGGTAGAAAAAGGTTTTCAAGACAATTTATTCTAAAGTAATGGACAAATTTCAATTAAAGTTTCCAGATAAGATAACTACCACCTGAAGTTGTGCATCCGGGTATTATGTTTTCATTATGACCTTATTTACAGAGTTATTGCCCTTTGTTGAATTATTTTCCAGACAACTCCTCCAAAACTATGGGGCCAATTTCAGCGGAAGTATATAGATGTGGTACAGTTAGAATTACGCCCAAGTATCCACTTTTTGTGGCACGAACGCAGGACGCACGCTTCCCGAACGGAGACGAGCCGCTTTACGACCGCAGGAC